ACACGCATCGTCTCATGAAGTGACACCATCGTCTCATGAAGTGACACCATCGTCCCATGAAGTGACACCATCGTCTCGTGAAGTGACCAACACGCATCGTCTCATGAAGTGACCAAAGTATCTTCCTCCAACCGCCTAAAGACGCGATGGCCTCCACCGTGCGTAGCGTCCTTGTTACTACAAGCATTCTCAATCAGGAGCAAGTTTGATATCCACATGGCAGCTGTTTGATCATACAGTTGTCTCCATCGACATCCATGTTTTCTATTTGCCAGTCAGAGCCTACAGCTCATGGCTTTACGCAAAGTAAACCGCTGAATCGGGAGTCCGCCCAATCAGCTCCATCCGCTCTTCAACTCCGGGTCAGGCCGACTCCACGTGCAAGGGGGAGTGTGTTTCAAACAGAAGGTGTGCTGGTTTTGTGCATGCAAAGGCACTGGTGACCAGTCGAAACACACTTTGTGGCCTTCACGAAACATGGACCATTTGCATCTGAATTCTGAAAACAAACGCTTGAACAAATACGGTTTTCAGCAAGTCTTCCTGTGATGCCACCTAGTGACTTTGTTTTCTCAAGCTGTTCTTCTTCCCAGTCTCTTCTTCCTGCTCTCTTCTTCCCAGTCTCTTCTTCCCAGTCTCTTCCTCCCAGTCTCTTCTTCCCATTCTTTTCTTCCCAGTCTCTTCTTCCCAGTCTCTTGTTTGCAGTCTCTTCTTCCGATTCTTCCCAGTCTCTTTTTCCAAGTCTCATCTTTCAAGTCTCTTCTGCCCGTCATATGTTTCTTCTCATTCTTTTCTTATCATTTCTTCCCAGTCCCTTCTTCCCAATCTCTTCTGCCCTGTCTCTTCCTCATTTTGTGTGTTAATTTTGTTTAAAGCAATGCATGGAAACATTTATAAACAGAGCGTTCTGTGTACTGGTCACGGCATGACCGACACACCATGACAGACATGCATGCTAATGGCTTCTACCATTCGTTCCCAGCCGAAAAGGGCTTTTTCGCCGACTCAACCGGATGCTTCTCATATGGGTGTTTCCTGAAATAGGGGTACCCCAAAATGGATGGTTTTGAGAGGAATTCCCATTAGAATTGATGATTTGGGGGTACCCCTATTTTCGGAAACACCTATATTCCAAAGGCATCCAAAGGCTTCATACGGTTCACTCCTCCTCCACGTGGTTTTCGATGCCATTTGCGCTGGCGTAATACGCTGCTTGGACCTGACATGATGCATACACTGGGCAGGTACAGTGGCTTCGGAGAAGATGACACAACCCCCAAGATCACTTTTGGATGTTTAAACCACCTTGATCTTGCCAAACTCAGTGTAGTGAACATTGTGCACAACGGTCCTGAACATTCCTCAAGCTACGCGGCTACGCGTCTTAGTCGAAGCTAAGCTAATGTCACACTCGTCACAATGAACAGATTTGGCTATTCTTCCTTGGCTCGTGGCTTTGGATTGTCAAGTCCCCTTGCAAGCTTGGTGAGTGAGGAGGACGCGCGCCTAGTCCACCGTGGCTTTCCACTCAGTTGATCTTTTCTTCCAACATTCGACTGTTTGTTCAAGGGTGGCACCCCATGCCTCAGCATCCACCATTGCCTTCATTCAAATCAGGTTGTGATGACGTTCATATGCCCAACTGTTCTTCACCCCGCCTTCCTCAGCTACCAGCTGCTCCTAACATTTTGTGTGCATAATATATGGAAACCCCATGAAACCCCGATGCCTGCCAAACAAACTGGCATTTCCAGGAGGTCCAATGACCAATGAGGCTCCTCATCATACGCATGCTTACTGAGCGATGTTTTGCCAAGCTGTTTCAAAGAAAGCATTTGCCAAGCCTGAGCACAGTCATTGCGATCAATCATTCGAACCATGTGTCTCCCGGCACCGTGTTCGTTTTTGCTTGGCACGGCCGCTGGCACGGCCCTCCGCTCCCGTTGCCGAAAGCTCATGCCCGAGCTCGTTTTGGTACGAGCTCGTGTTCCGTCCTTCGTGGAACGGGATCCCGAACCACCCCCCTGTGCCCATGCACCGTCACCGTCCCACAGCACGGAGGACCTGCGGTTGGAGGGCCTTGGGGTGGCGATGCTGGAGATGCAGCTGGACACAAGGGAATCCCATGAGCTGGGCTACGGCTCCTTGAAGGGCCTCACCGCCGCTCGGCGCTGGTATGTGCGTGCGAACACAGTGGTGTGGTGGTGAGGAGGTTTTTAGCGAACGAAACGCATTGGAATGGCAGACTAGTGTTTGATGTGCGTTTTTGGGGCTGGCGGAGTTTGGGTGGTTGAAGAGTGTGGTAGGACTGGGTGGCGGGGATTTTGCAAGATGTGGTCTGTCGCGGCATCTGCCATCCCAAGTTCCTTCGCGACTTCATAATGATTTTTTTTTTTTTTTTTTTTCGGTGGTAATCATGAGGTGCCAAATGTCTTTACCCTTCTCCACCGTTCAACTGGCTCAAAGACTGGACTAAATCATGAAGCATGAGCATGATGAACGAACCGGAAGGTTTGACCGGTTTGAACGTTGGGAGAGGAATCAAACAGCTAGGTATTCCAAGGCCGTCTGAATCAATCGCTGAGCAGCATCAAACCGGTGTTTCTCTCTTCAGGTGATCCGTTTTGTTGCGACATCTCTTCCTTAGCTTCATCTCCTAAATATGTATCGCAGACGTCAATTCTATTTGTTTGACCGACTGAAGGAAGTTCCCGGAAATCGGGGCGCACATCTTTTTAAGTACCCAGACCAGCCATGCATGTGTTCTTTATGGCTACGTTGACCGACATGTTCAGCCAAGCACCCCTGCCCTGATCGGTACGTATCAGCACCTTCATGACGGGGCACCTGGCTGGTTTCGCCCCAGCCCACTAGGAATCCGGGACCTCCAGCCAGGACACCCTGGGTTCAGAAGGTCCAGGTCTGGGTTCGTCAGTCTGAAGATCTCCGTGGGGTATGTGGAGATGAGTCACTACCTGCAGGGTCTCCTGGGTCCACCCTTGGCCGCGGACGACAGAGACACCAGGGAAAAACCGGGTCGGTTCTCGTGGTGCCAATGAAGAGCATTTCCACTTCAACAGGGGGCTGTTATTAATCTAAGAGTCTACATTGCCCTACAAGTCACTTCGACCTCATTTTTGTGGAGGTAGAAGACCAGGTTTGACTGGGTCCTGGACGGTCCGTAGGGACCCCCATGTGTTCCGTTCGAGAAAACGGTTTCATCGACCAGGCGACGGACGAAACGCGCACAGGTGAACCGCCACCGGACAGGTGAACCGAACGCGTTTCCTTCCGCCCCCCCGATGTTCGGAATGAATGGGATTCGAGTTGAGCGCCCGAATGGGTTTCCGGAGGCCCCAAAAAGCGCGGCTTCCCAGGGGCCTCCTCGTTACAACAGGGCCGTTTGGGGTCACCGGGAGCCCGGTCTTGGGCTTCGCGGAGGTTCAGCTGCGGCAAGTGGCGGCCAAGACGGACGTGGACGGCCGGGGCGGGTCGCTCTGGGTGGATTTGAAGCTGAGAAGCGCCCATTTGGACGCTGGGTTGGAGGGCGAGGGCCTGGGTTTGGGTTCTTTTCGGGGTAGATGGGTCGGCTGGGAAGTTGTACGAGAGGACAATTTATACATTATATACAGAAAAATAAAGAATTGAATATATATATATATAAACTGTATATAATGAAATTCAACTTCTAAGTGGATGAACATTTTCTGCCATCCGAGGCGGCACAGCGCCGGACATTGTCACTGATTCAAAGACATTGGCCATTAGGATGGTTGGGGAATTGCTCCAGACCCACCCCATGATTCTAACTTTCAAACTTGGAGCAAATCGCGCGAACGCCAGATCACCAGCGAGTTTGCTGCGAATTCTTCGTTCCCCGGATGATACACTGCACTTGGAATCAGGTGATCAAGAGCTTAATTGCGAACTTTCCGATTCCATCTATGTATGGTAGCCGCAAATCAGGATAGAACATGATACAAACAAGTTGGAGTATCGGATCCCGTTCTTGATTCCGAGACTACCAAAGGAACCAGTGATCCACACCATGCAGTGGGCAGTGGGCAACGATTAAGATACGTTCTTTTTTATGGATCTCCATGTAAGGCATATTAAGACTACGCTATGGATCGCTATAGAGCATGAAGCAATCAATTGAATTCTTCAAACAGAACACGAATAAAACCACGGATGGATGACGACGGATGACCCCGGATCTGTGGATTCTATACATCCCTCCACCTCCAAGTACCTCCTCCGAAGGTCTTTGGACCCTCCTGGCACCCACCCCAGTCCCACCTTCTCAGAAGGTACGACTGGAGGCCTAACGGGTGTGGGACTCTTCTCTTGAAGAATGACCAATCGGCCTGGCAGTGGGCCCCAGTCTTCCCACTCCGGGGCGGAACCGCAGAGGTTGGGGGCCTCTGGGAGCATCGAGATGGGGGATCCACTCCCCACACGGACGTTCGTGCCTGTGCCATTTTGCGCAACACACTGTGCAGAAGACACCGAAACCGCCGCCGTGCCCAGGATGTGGGGACTGGCGATCTGAAGCACCAAAGCAGCTGGAGATCAACGATCGGCGGGGGTGCGTGATCTCGGTCTGAGAGGTTTCCGATCTGACCTGCTCAAGGTCAGGCGCCCTCCAGTCTGACCCAAGCTGGTGTTTGACCTCATTGAGTCATGTATGATCAACTCCAGTAAAATGAGGTCTTTGACCTGCAGGGAGAGAGTCCGGGAATGGATTTTAAGGAGGTTCCCTGAGCATCGGTTATTGATTACAATCAATATTATCCTAGGTTTTTTCAATTGATTTTGTTTATTGTTTTTTTTTGATTTGGAAGTAAAGTCTCTGTTTGAATATCTATGTGTGTTTGATTGATTTGTTTATTGATTTTGTTATTGAATTGGGGTTTGAATTTTCTATTGATTTTGGGTTTGATTTTGTGGGGGGCAGTTGTAGGGGCTGTTGGGAGATCCTTGTGCACTGATCATGTCTTGTGGCCTTTTGTGGCCCAAGCCCTATAGCACAGCTACTTTTGCACCCTTGGGAAAGGGAAGCAATATAGGAACCCCTTGAGAGAGGGATGTCGAGGGGTGGGGCAAGACACTTTGCCAAACCAATGATAGAAACTGGTCTCATCTTTGATATCTTTTTCAGGCATGAGGACCTGATAAGGAATTTTGGGAGCTATGAAACACTGAGCACCCAGTCAGCTGTGGACCCAAAGGGGCTCATACACAACCTACCCTTGGTGGAAGACATTCTTGAAATTGCTCCCTCATGTGAGATACATCCACAACCACTCAGGAATGCTTTGGTCAGGCTCCTGACTCAAAAGCCAATGCTTAACACAGGAAGATTCAATGGAGGTGTGTGGAGCCACCAAAGATCAGAGAGAGTTTGTGTCCTCCTGTCCCATATCAGGAGGTTGGCCAGGCAAGGTTGCAATAGCAAGTGTGTTCAGATGTTGACAGCCTTGGAGTACAAAAAGCTGGCAGACACCTTGGAAAAGGTGGATCTCAAAGGATCCCAGGGTGAACCCTTGCCAAAGGGAGAAGAAGAAGAAGAGCACAAGGGAGAGCCCAGCAAGAAGAAACTAAAACACAACACCAGTGATGTTTCCCTGGACTCACAGGGCTTCCCTTTGGAACTGAAGACACCTGAAGCTCAGAAGAAGAGCTGTTCAGCAAAACCTCCAGGCCCCCCAAGGCTTTTGAACAAGAGAGTTGGCCAAAACAATGCTTTGGAAGAAGCCAAACATGACCCAAGCTTCAAGCAGGCTTTGGGGATGGTACCTGGAAAAGCAGCTGAGGGGCCAAAGAGAAGGCCAGCAGCAGCAATGAAGAGACCTGCTGCTTGAGAAGCTATTGCACAGGGTGATCCTGACAGGCGACCATGGCTGAAGATCACAAAAACTTCAGCCAAAAACCCAGAGAGGAGCTACTTGTGTGGGACCAAAGAGAAGGGAGGAAAATGCAAGCTCATTGTTGAAGTGAGCAAAAAAAGGAGCAACAGGTATGGGCTGATCATTGGGAAGATCAAAGAAGCCTTGGAGAAGAAACACTTGACCAAAGAAGAAGCAGTGCAAATGAGGGAAGAACTCTGCAGCAAGTGAAGGTGTTCTCCCAGCCCTTGGTAAAGGGGAACCCCTTCAAAAAGGGGTCAAGGCCAAAACAGTTGAGCAAAGGTATTCCTTTGAAAAAAGGGAGCATCCTTTGCAAAAGGGAGCATCCTTTGCAAAAGGGAACATCCTTTGAAAAAGGGAACATCCTTTGAAAAAGGGAA